ATAAATTTATCTTTAATATTCTTCTTTTAAGTAAATGAAAAATAATAATCATGCATATTTTATAACAATGCATGCACAAAAATATATTAGAAATCACTATCCTGCTTTTATTTTAATATTAATAACCTCATAAAGTCTTTTAATTTTCTTGTCCAGAGGATGCTAATTCTTGAACCTTGGTTATACGCTTAGCACCTCTGTTCGGTGGACCCTTGGGTTTAGCGAATTTTGGCTGATGTAAACTGATTTTTGGATGTAATTCCTCTTGAAAAAACTCTTCGGTAAGTTCCTGTCCAGCAGCTATTTCAAGCTGTGCAATTAAATTGTAAAGAAAAATTATAATATATATGTAATGTACATCTAATAGAAAAATTTAGGAAATGAATAATATATATACATATCAACAGAAGTAGGAATGTAGTTATATATAAAAAATGTATTATTATAAAAATAGAGAAAATTAGGAAAAAGATAAATTATATAAACATATGGCTGTAGATCATATAGCAGGCCTATTCTGCAAGTTGTAACAAAACATGCCTTTGAATCTTAAAAATAACTACATACCCATTTTAAGAAGTGTCGAAGTCATCCTTAGCAAGAGCAGTATACATACCTAAGTGGTCCTTACTAATTATATATGTACCTAGTATAAATATAAATATAATATTGAATATAATATAAAAAGAGAAACACCAAATTGTAAGTTTAAGTTGCATAATGCTTTATTATTTCCAGTAATATTCAATATTGGCAAGATATATATACAATTTCCTTGATTTTAATACGTTATATAGATATAACTGAAAAGTCCAAAGCTAAGATAAAATCGAAGAATTACAGAATAGGCCTGATATGACACTTAACTAAAGTATATTATTAGGCAATATTGTGGGTCATGATTTAAAAAAATAGAATACGTATGTTTAATTAGCCTGCAGTACAAAAATTAATTTAAATATATTTATGCAAATATGAGCCAAAAACTGTACTCTTTCCTCTTCTGCTTTAGACACTCTCTCTCTCTCTCTCTCTCTCTCTCTCTCCCCCTTTCTCTTTCTTTCTCCACTAAATTAAAAAATTAAATAATTCATTAAAAATAAGGGATATATAATTAGGATTATAAAAAAATGTATAAAATCATATAAAAACCGTACTAATATAAAAAATATTAACTGTGCATGGAAGGAAAAAATCCACGAATTTGGCTCAAATAATTTTCACAGCACAAGTAGACCCAGCTGTTTTATTAATCATTTTTCCGCACGCGTATTTTATGACTAAAACATTCAAAAAGTTTATAAAAAGCTACAAGTATTAAAAAAATACAGATCACAAAAAATAGAATGCCTCTCATATATTTTGTTGCGGACTATCAAATTGTAGTCCTATCTGCTGTAAATTACATGTCCACTTAAATATTTGAAAACATTTTCTCTGGAAATATTTTATTATTTAAATAATAAATTATTAAAATAAATATATTAAATAATATATATGCTCTCAATATATCTCGAATAACATAGCTTTTTAAAATTTTAGTAATAATATAAGAATATATAACAAATAATTACCATTAATCTTGTTTAATTGGAAATATATATTATAACAGCTGATAGGACTCATCAAGATCAGTCTTACATCATACACATATTTGTAAGATTTAATATTTTTACAATTGTGTAGAACATGATATAAAATTTTATATGTAAAATAACTAGTTATCACTATCTTGTAGCTGAAATAATAGTGTGCGAAAAAAATATATCCACATTAATGTGGCGTTTGCATATTTATCACTCGTCTAATAACTACGTTATTATCATATTGAAAATATATAGAGAAGTTAGGTGAATGGCTTTAGCTCTTTCTCTTTCCTTCTACCTATTTAGAGCACAAATGGAATTTTTCCTAACTCTCTACTCACATCACATATGGTGTATATAATTACCACAGATCAATATTAAAAATATTATGTTTATCGAATCTCATATGAACATTTGAATGAGTTTAAAAGCTAAGCCTTCAAATTTCACTCTAAAAATACTTACGACACATATCACCTTTATAAGACTAGGAACTAATTCACAGTACTAGGTACAATATATATATATATATATTTTTTAACATATTTTTTAAAGAAAATATATTTTTTAGGTATAGAAATGCACATAAAATATATATGTATAAAGTTATTAGAATGAAGAGGAACTCTGAATAGAATATGTTAAGTTCTGTATAAAACTAAATTACATACTCATTTGCTATCACATGATATAATACTCATACTAAATATAAAAATTAAAAAGTGAGGCTTAGCTTTCAATGTCAAACAAAATAATTTAATTTAACCTAATTCTCGATTACTATTTTTCACATAAATGAATAATTTCATACGTAAGATGAATTAAGGAATATACTATATATGAAACAACTATGGGGTTATCTGTATTATAGGCATGTCACACTTATTATCAATAGATATAATGACGTTTTGCAAAGAACCTTCCACATGATAATTTTGCTTTTAAAATTTAGAAAAATACATCATCTGGTCTACTCTGTTTTGCTACTTAGATTTACGTATCACTTTGATAAATTAATTCTAAATGCTGATAAATAACACAGATTAATTTCCTTTGCATGATGCATTACATTTTCTGCTACTTGTAAATTAACTGTCATAACATATATTTATATATATATATAATTAGATAATTGTAATTTGCTCTAACATGAAACATTGGAAACCCATTATTTTAACGACATATCTTATGTCAATATCATATTATCACAATTCTGGAATTCATGAAGGAAGATATTTGATGCACAAAACATCATAAACACTTCAATTAGCAAAAAGCAATAATAATGGCAGAGATAAATGCTTTAGGCCAGTTTTAGCTTAAGACACAAGATCGTTTCTGTTTTGATTTTTTCTCTGGTATGGATTGAGTAGGAGCACAAGGTGTCGACGGAGTTGCAGGAGTTATTGCAGCTGAGTCTTTTATGCTTGGAGGATCTTCCAACTTATCTGCCAATTCCTCTCCACTATTAACTTCCAACTAGGATTGCAGTTATATAATATAGAGATGGCAGTTATATATATACAAGTACACACGTATATCAAGAATATATTTTTTAGTAGATCATAAATAAATAACAATTGCTTTTCTAAGTATAATAGTATTACACTTAGAAATGCAACGCACATAATCTTATATATGATACAATATTGCAATTACAATTATTATTATAGCATAGAATGGTACAAAAGAGAAAAAAATTTCCATTGAGGCATACTAGATTTTAAAAAGAAATTACATATGAATGCTAGATTTGTATTTAAAATAAATAGTTATAGTCACAAAACACATGCATATGATATTAATTAAATGTTGCATTCTTATTATTTAAAGAGTATGCCTATTTGATTGAAATATATAATATTTAAACTTAAAACAAGACTAATAAAGAAAAATATTTACATAAAGTGGATCAGAGTCAAAGTGAAATAATTACAATGAATTATTAAAATATTAAAAGTACTAACCTTTTTTATTATAGTTACTCCTAGAGACTGGATTAGGTCCAACAAAGGTGCTTTGCATGAGGAATATAACATCCTTTCTTTAATACTGCAATTATATCCTGGCATACTATATATGAAAACTGAAAAAAGAAAAAAAAATTATTCTTTTACACTGTGCAGGTACATGAAATATTATTTATCACTTACCTATGCTTTCTGTGTAATCTCCTTCATGAGTATGCTTGAAATTATAAAGATGATATCTAGCAGCATCAGATGGAACTTTAGTAGGTAATTTATCCAGTGAAACATCGCAAGCTGTGACTAAATGTATCTTTTCTTCCTCCAATTCAATTTTTAATTGAATGTATTCGTGAATTCCTTTACCCAGTTCCGTAATGGCTTGCTTGGCTTCATCTGTTACTGGAAAGGCCACGCCACTCAAAGTCTGATGTCTTGTTTCGACACTATAGTCGGTAGTCGCGGTAGTCTTCTTCAATTCAGCTAATTCTTCCTCCGCTGTTGTCAGTGGTACAGGCGCTGTATCGTTTCTTTTATGTTTGTGATAACCATCTAATGTAATATCTTCCGGGACAGTGCCATGTAATTCCTCCTTTATTGAGGCTGTACCGAATTCCTGCTTGAGCGTAGCCTTAGTAGAAGCATAAAGCATTTTCTGTCGTACTGGTGCAGTATCAGGAGACCAAGATATAAATAACCAATCATAGCCAGAATCTGGTGATTTTGTGTCCAATCTATAAAGGATATAAGCTGGTTGATTTTCCACAATCAGTGGCTTGATCATCTTATCATAATCATCTTGCCATTTGTTAATTGGCTTCAGACTAGATGCTGGAGTTAGTTCCTCTAGAAAATGAAAAAAATAATTACTAAAGATGCCATATGTCTCTATTTTGTTCTTCAGAGGATTGATTATGTGATCTTGAAATGAGATAAAATTAACAAAATCAATATTCGCTCACTTTGTAACTTTCACTATATATCAAGATATATAATTAATTTCTAGATTACAGCAAAATAAACACATTGTCTTATAAGATTTCGACAATGCAAATTTTTGTTACAATCTAAAACTTACCATTCTCTATCGAAATTTTTAATACTCGTATCTTTCCGTCACGGCATTTCGCGAACAACTTCTTCAACGCGTCATTAGCTAAAATAAATCAACCATTATTAATAAAAGATTAACATTGAGCTCGAAAAATTCTGTTATCAATTCACTGCAATTAATCTTCACCGTGGCGAATGCAGTATGCTACGAGCAAAGAAATATAATCACCCTTAATTCCAGTCTGGTGAGACATTATTTCACGAGGAACTCTTGTTGCTGCCTGTCGGAGTTGGTCGGAATTCACGAAGTACGTCAACAGTCGCCCACGGTCGCCTACGCGCGTCCAAGAGTTATTTTTTTGTATGTGCCAAAGTTTCGCGAGGAAGGACTACTCGATTGTCAAGTATAATAAAGACCTGTCTCCACGGTGCTAGAATTCGGTCCGAATTCTCGCTTCTCAGCAGGTTCTCGAACCCAGAAATGTGTAGCCAATCGACGTATAGTTTTTACGGAAAAACGACAAGTTGATTGGATATAAATTTCACGAACCGAGTTCCAGCAACGTGGACTGCGTGAATATAAGGTTTGATCGGGAAACCACGAAATACTCGATAAGCGAATTTTATTTATAAGTCAATTAGAAATATTAGAATCGTATAGTCGCAAAAAAAGATTAAATTGAGGAAAACGTTCGACTATGTGTAATATTGGCTTAAGTTTCGCGTGTATGAATTTTCAGGTTTTATAAATCAAGTATGAATCTGTTGTTTACCCAGCAAACGAGAGAATGGCTTAAAATGGATTGAATTTTTTTTCTATTTTTACGCATCCGAATGCGTATTTTAAATAGCGAATACTTTTTTTGGATTTAATTAGATTCAATTGGATGCAATTGAATTGAAATACTGCTTTTTCTATTCAAAATTTTGAATTGAACAGTATTCACAATGCATATTGCAGAAAAAGTCAATATTATTTTTAGATTGAAAGGCATAGAAATATGCTCCTCCATGCAATTCCTATAAATGAATAAAAATGCAGGATTGAAAAGTATTCATTTTAACATTCATGAATCAATATTTCTGAAAATTTCAATTCATTTTAATCCATTCTCGTTTGTTGGATAATAAGATTCGATAAGAGAAACGTAATCAATCTCGATCGAGAAATCTTTCGACATATCCAATTATGCTTGATAATGATTACTAAGATTTATTTATATCTAAATCTCTCATTTGCATAAATGCTTTATTTAAAAAAATTTTCATGACACTACACGTACCACATTATAATACTTATCAACTATTTTTAGAATATAAATTGAAGATTTAAGACTTATCACACTTATTGTGTACTGATAAAATTGTCCTTTTTAAAACTTTTTCTCGACACATCTTGGAACACATCGAGGGACACATCTCATCCATGGATTTGCACAGGCTGTTAGTGAGCAATTACGACAGCTGTATAAGGAATATGATAAGAATGAGGAATGTAGAGAAGCATCAAGAGAAATTTGAGCAATATTTGTTATGCCACGCAAATGGCATACAAATGGCACAGAAATGATTTCGAAATACACGCATCGCTCAGGATGACACTCTCAAGAGTGCCATTGCAGGCCATTGTCGCTTAAATCGTCTACGAACAGCTGTCTGCTAATGACACGCTATTGCGCATGCGTGAAATTCGTCTGTCCATCTGGAAGCGGGAGTGACGTATCCTGATTCTCTTGACGGCGGATACAAGGTAGCGAGCAACGAGCAGTCGTGTATTTTGAAGAAATTTCCACATTAATCTCTCGACGGAGCTGGATTTCGCCGCACGAGATTCAGTATGCTGGCCCTTATCAATCGGATCTTGGACTGGTTCAAGTCTCTCTTCTGGAAGGAAGAGATGGAACTCACTCTCGTTGGCCTGCAATACAGTGGAAAGACTACCTTCGTGAATGTCATAGCGGTACGTGAGTCATGAATCTCCTCTGTTTAGGAGAACGTGCGTGAGTCGATCTCACAAACATACAAGTCAATATCGACGAAACGCGAGGTTTGCGAAAGTACTCTGCGTGTGTCGCAATGCTTGGTTAGATTCAATAACCCCTTCGAAATAACTCTCTGTGTTAACGTATACCGTCACCGTATACGCCCTTACGTCAAATGATTTGGCATTGTCGCAACTGAATGTGATAGTCATTGAACTGTGTTGCTGCTTCCGCTTGTTTGTCTTTTTCTTCCTAGCTTTCTCCGTTTTTTCCCTCTTTTTTTTATCCGATTGCTCTTGCGAATGTATAATAAAACTTATTGTTTCTGCACTTATAAACGAATTGAAAATTAAATTTGTTTATGCCAAATTTGATTACGCTCATTTGTAGTACATCATTTTCGTTATAATTGGAATTATATTAAACTAAAGTTATAAAATTATATCTTTATATTATCAGAATAATTAATGATAATTATGCATGTCATTGGCGATTTTCCAGCTAGGACACAGAGACATTACACTGTGTTCCATTGTTAAAGTACTTGTTGGAACGCAGTTTAGTTTTATAGTGTAACACCAGAATGCATTACAGTTTTCCATTCTATTCTTATAATTATATTTAGCGTATCAATAATAGATTTATGATTTTTATTCAGTCTTAGGTCATAATTTTTTCAAAATTGACGATTTTTGAAGGTTTTATTGCAAAATAAGTATGACTACCAAATAACTTTTTGAACTTTTGGTAACATTGACATATTTTACACGCTCGTATTTAGCTTTTTATTGTGTTGAGCATTGTTACACTGTGTCACCTGTGTACGTTGTTGGAAAACATCTATTGTTCTTAAATATGGACTAACAAAGATAATCTTTCTCTTTTCTGTATTCAGTCGGGTCAGTTTAGTGAAGATATGATACCAACTGTAGGCTTTAATATGCGCAAAATAACCAAAGGCAATGTCACTATAAAAGTATGGGACATTGGCGGTCAACCAAGGTTTAGATCTATGTGGGAGAGATATTGTAGAGGAGTAAATGCCATAGTTTACATGGTTGATGCAGCTGATTCAGAGAAGATTGAGGCAAGTCGTAATGAATTACACAATTTGTTGGATAAACCACAATTGTCTGGAATACCAGTTTTGGTTCTGGGTAATAAAAGGGATCTACCTCATGCATTGGATGAGAATGGGCTCATAGAAAGAATGTAAGTTTCACTCAGCTATGTATAACATTTTGCAAATATATGGATATATATATATATATATAT